AGCTTAATATCTAAGTTTTCTTTTGAATATTGCCTCAAAATTTATCGAGATAATGATTTCAATCTAACGCAGATTTTTTTATTTTTGTGAATAACACTGGTTATACGTTGCTATTGGTATGTGTGATCATTTAGTTTTCAATTTGTTGATCGGTAAATAACTATAGTTAACTACAGATTTAAATATTGTAGTTCGCATCTCTACATTCAACGAATCCCTTTCATTCTGAAGTTTTTTTGATCAAGAATTGCACCGATAAAAAATTTTAAGCATCTTCATTATTCTCGCTCGGATAAATTATTAATCAGACGAAATAACACAATGGGAGTTGTGCCGGGCTGCGGCTCCATCAATTACATTGTACTTAATAGCAAGAAGTACGATTAAAAAGTTATTCTCATGCAATATTACGGAGTGTAAAATAAAACTTTATTTATAATTTGTTATTTTTTTACAATTTTTTAAAAGCTTTGAAAGTGAATTGACAAAATCATCATTTAAAATTTTCATATTGTAAGTTTCAATTGATTCAATGACATCCTTTATGATTTGATTATCAATTTGATTTCGTGATTCGTTATTTTTAAACTCAGTATTCTTAGAAGTAATTGAGGCAGAATCTAAATTATTTAAAGTTTTACCTAAAGTCATAAAATACATACAGCTTTCGATTTCTTTCAATACACTTGAAAAGTTTGCGAGTTTGAATGCTTTCTTTTGTTTTTTATTTTTATACTCAGACGATATTTTTGTTTCGTCATTTACAACAAATATAGTGCCCGTATCATTATTCCAATAATCTCGTAAAACCTTTTCAAAATTACAAACATGGGTATCCATCTTATCATAGTTTTCTGATGCATAATAATATATGCACTTTGTTTGTGAAATTTTGCACTTTGGACATTGGCGATATTTGCATTGGATAATTATCGTTTGGTTTTTGTATCTAAAGATGATATCTTGTCCACAATCCCCATGGAATTTCAATTCTCCTTTTCGTATGACATTCATTTTATCGTTCGATTCCATTTCATTTTACGATCATAGATGGTGTGACTTTTAATTAATAGAACCATGTCTCCGAGTGGTTCGTAGTGTAATAAGTTTGAAAACATCATATTCGAATTTTTCACCCGTAATAATTGACAATTCTATAATTTTGTCCATTTTTTTTTTTTTGATGAAACTATGGCCAAATAAAATTGACGACCAAGTTCCACTAACGATATCGATATTAATGTGTAAAAATTTATTACAGTATGTTATTTTTAAATTTAGAATGGTGCATGTCAATTTCGAAGTGACATAAATTAAGAAATGATGCGGAACAATTAAACCAAATTGTCACTTGCCATAGACAAACCAAAAAGAAGACGTTCCATTATATTTTTTTCCTCACTATTTATTTCAATTCTTTTTAATATGAATCTTCCCTTGAAAAATCTTTTTAAAAGAAATTTTTCCTCCGATTCACATCTCTTAAATAGTTTATTAATTGGAATTCGACCAATTAAAATAAGGTTAATAAAGAACAAGGCAGTTAAAATGAGCAGCGGAATATCCTTCCACTGAATGCATTGTTCTGAAAAAAATTTTTCAAATAAATCGATTTTAGATTTAAAATATATGTCCATAACTATAGCATCTTTCGCCGAAATTAAATTAGTTTTCAATTCATCAATGTTTTTTTCGATATCATTTAAGATAGAATTATCATCTTTAGAAATTATCTCAACTGTACTCACAATTTCCATCAAAACTGACTTCACATACATTTCAATAGCATTCATCTTAATTAAATAATTCATTGTATCATCCTCATTTCCATCGATTCCTTTTAAATTTTCCTTAATTTTACCAAATATTTCTTGAAAATTGACAATTTGTTTAGAATTGTCATCAATTTTAAGTTTTACTAATTCTTCTCTACTAGATTCTTCAATCTTGTTCTCATTACTAGATCCTTCAACTTTGTTCTCGTTGCTATATTTGTCAAGTTCTGCTAATGATTTTTCAATTCCATACATATTAAAATCATTCTGATCTATTTTCATTATCTCTGTAATAAGTTCATTTTTGCTTATCGTCATTGTAGGTCTTTTAGATTTAAGATCATTATATTCTCATCAAAATCATTTTGAGTATTATTTTCATCGCTCTTCTTGTTATTAATAAACTGTTTAAGCGATGATATGTTACCAACAAGAGCCCCAATACTTCCTGCTCCAAAAACTGAAGTTGAACCGATTTGTATGATAGATCCAAGACTTTTTTCATCAGTAGTGAAAAGGTAAACACTAATTCCAAGTGAAAAAATACATATAATAGCGGCGATTATTAAACGTCGAAAAGATGAAATCCGAAGTTCCTTCCATTTTTCAAAATTTTCTTTTAGTTTAATAAGATTAAATTTTCTTTCATCCCAAGACATGCGTCGAAGATTGGAATGGTCTGTAGTATTATCAACGTTTTCACTCATTATTAACAGATTATTCAAAATCTTTTTAATAAAGGGTTATAGAATAATGTAATATTATCAAAGTCCAAATCGTTTTTTGAAAAAAATCAACGCAAGTAGCGAATTTTTAGGTTGTAATTAGTTGTCTTTATGATCTAATTTTTATATAAATTGCTTGGATTATTGAATATGTATTTGTATCGAAATTTAGAATTTTATTATGGGTTATGGGTAGTGAAGGAGGGAGGGAGAAAGAGAGAAATAGAGAGAGGGAGAAGGAGAGAGAAAATATAGGATGGAAAAAATCTTTCTTGAGGAATTGTATCGTTAAATAAATTGGATTTCGAATATAAGAACTCCGAAAGGGAGCTGTATTCCTAATCGGGATAATTTAATTATCTTTGCATCAGTATCCTATTGTGAATACGGGCATAAAAAATAACGGGCATAAAATAAAAAAAATTTCATAAGTTGGAATCTATAAAAATTTAATTTAATATTATATAGACATATTGATAACAATAATAACCCTTTCTTTATATTTTTTGCAGATGAACATTGTAACGACTGGGAATTGATCAGCATTAGACGTAAATTATAACTATTTGTTTTACATAATGGTGTTTAAATTCTGGAGTTTTTTTTTTCTTTGGTTTGTATACTTATATATGCATGGCAAATTTCATTTCCTGTAATCCTTAATACCCATAACGGTGTTGTTCATTTTTGAAAAATATATCGATACATCAGCACAACACCAATTGGTTGCTTATTAAATTAATGCGCATTGACATCTTTAGGAACCTGTAAAAATTTGGTTATCGATATTATTTATAAATCTTAATTTTTACGGGCCCTATTATAGTTTTAACGCGCACATATAAGTAAATCCGTACTTGGTGTCCCGCACTATAAGAGACAATAATTCATCCATATAATTCTTCTACCTTTGTAAAAAAAAAAAGAAAAAAGAGAATCTATTTTCATTGATTATGCAAACTTTGGAACTAGAAAAACATGTCGATGAACTCTCCACCGAATGAGGTCGTGGTTGAATCAGACGTCACGCTTGAGTATAAGTCAATGCCGTCAACCATTGACATTAAAAAAGGTAGTGAAGACAATATTTACAGTGTCTGGCGAGATTATGGCCAGAGTTTCTCGGTGAATAATCCCGGAAAAATTCAAAATTATGATAAAGATAAGGAAACAAATAAATGTAACTATATGCACTATCATTTTGATGTCTCTTATTATATATTCATATGTTAATACATCTAGCTTGAAAAATATATAGCTTCAATTAATCAAGGTATTTAAATATTTTAAAAAATTCAAGTTTGATATAAAAATTCGTAAATATAACAAAAATTTCAAGTGCAAGCTGAGGATAAACAAGCGCTAAGTAGCATATATTCGGATTCATCATGTATGTTTAAGATGTTTTCATTATTAAAACCTGTAAATAATAATCCATAACAAATTCAATAAATTTTTATGAAGTATCTAGTGATGCGTTTCCAGGTATATACTTTAACATATGAAATTATTCAAGTTATTGATTTTTTATTGCCTTATAAAAATATTAACATCCATTCTAACAGATAAAATGCTTGTTCATATCAAATTATTGAATTTTAATCCATCACGAAGACTAAATTCCGATGTCAAACAATCAATTCGTATTGTGATCGGATCAATATTTTATCTTACCAAACCAAGTACATCTCTTGAAGAACAATTGAAAAAGTCGTTTCTTTTTCCTTTCAACTATAATTCGTTATTTTTGACTCAATGAAATTGATTATTTATGAATACGGTTCTTTTTTGAATATGAGGAAAAAGAATGGACGTGTTATTGTTCCATTGAGTGATTTAAAACAGCCATAATCGATCAAGGGGGATTTGAAGGGTGATTGTAGTTTTTTTTACAATCTGCCTTCATCCAAATTACCTATATTTAACTCAAAATTAATCGCATTATCATATTATATTATCAGAATTTTCCCGATCGAAGCTAATAGATTTCCACATTTACATAAAATTGGTACCATCCAAATCAACATAAAATTTCATTTTTCAAATGACTTGGCTCTAAATTCCCAAACACAATCCAAAGTGGCTCCTTTGATTCACGATGATTGTGATTGTAACGAATGTTTTAACCTCGAGATACGCCCTGAAACAATATCTCTTGGCATACTTGATACAGTATTAAGTCAAGAGACTAGATATGCGATTAAAGAAATTACTGGTCTTTATCATACGTTTTTTGGTCATGGGTGGAGATTGACAAAATTAGAATTTCTAAAAGCGTATATGTTATTAGAAAAGTATTATAGTCAAAAAGACAAGTAATATTTGTTATTTATATGCTAAGTGATGTCTTATTCATCTATCAATAATTCATTTTTTCTTATACCATACTTTGGTGATAGCCCTATTACAGGAAATTTGTGCCATGATAAGAATATGATAGGAGATGCTCTGCGATATTTAAAGTTTTCTATGTCGTCATATGTATATTCTTAGATATTATTATGTTTTAAATTACATATTGTAGTTTTTTTTTGTATTAACAAGATTAATATTAAATCGTAGGGATCTTTCTTGTTTAATTGGTTTGGATATGGTCCACCAAGTAAGTAATCTTGCATTCATAATATACTTTATTATCATGTTTAATATAGTTTTATATAGATCCATTTGGGATAACTTCTGAGAAAAAGATTATTCGAAATTTCTTCGGTCTTGATAAAAATGATATTATCTGTTGGGAATATGACCAAAACGCAGTTTCGGTACCTAATTATATGGTGATCAGAGATCCAGAGACGAATTCTATTATTGTATCTATTCGAGGAACCATGGTAATATTATATAGCTCCTTTTTTTAAACATTTATATTTATTAATTAGAAAAATTTTTTTACAGAACGTTACGGACTTAGTTACTGACTCCCTAACACATTACGAATCATGGAATGGCGGTTTTGTTCATCGTGGAATATTGTGTAGTGCGCAATACCTTATAAATCATTCCTTAAAAGACATCCGAGACGCTGTAATAAAATATAATGCCGATTCCATAAAAATCATAGGACACTCATTAGGAGCATCCGTATCATCTATCACGACCTTACTTTTGCGAGAGCGATGCAAAGATATGCTTGACCGTGGAATTAATATTCATGCATGGAATTTCGCGACTCTTCCATGTTGTTCGCTTGATATAGCATCGAAAGTCGATACAATGAAGTGCATTCATAATTTTATTAACGAAAACGATGTTATTCCGAGATTGAGTTATGGAAATTTAATGGATTTCAAGGAGTTAGTTAAATTTACCGCTAGTGAATTAAAGAATGAAGAATATAAAGAGGTATACCATTGTTATGCTTTAAAATGAAAAAAATTTTATTACGATTTATTTATTTTATTTTTTATTTTGTTTACAAAAATTATTTGACAGTTAAAATCAAAACATAGGCTTTCTAAAATATTCTCATCTATCGATACATATCGTAACGCTTTAAAATCTAATTCATCTTCCCAAAAACTATACATACCTGGAACAATATATTATTTATACAAAAGAATTGATCACTCTCACGTGGAATCATCCTTGCCATTTTATACTAATGCTAAGGATGTAGTATGTGAAAAATCCAACCCCGATTTATTTATGGATATTAGTTTACGTCGGAATTGGTTGTCTCATCATTTTCCAGATATATATGATAGGAAACTCAAGGGAGTCATAAAGTTTTTGGCAAAAGAAACTGATATACATTTTTAAATTTATGATTTTAATTGAAGGTATATATATTTTTTTAATTTTAATAATATGAAACGCAATCAATTACCAGGAACAAATAAGATATGATCAATTAAAAATAATAATCAACTGAACGAACTATAAAAAAAATAATTGTAACACGTATCTTCATATTTTTTATCATGATATTAAAATACGTGACATCAGACTAACCCAATGAATCGAAAAATTTGGATAGCCGACACAGTTTTATGACCTTATGCGAAAACGCTTAATCACATGACTTTATCTCTGCTACTTTATGGCAGAGATGCAAAACATACATTTTTAATATTCCTACACCTGCTTTTTTGATACATCTAAACATACCCTAAAACTAACCAATAAGATCGCACGTAATTATAGTAAAGTTATTAAAAAGTATAGAAATTTTAGGGTATGTTTAGATGTATCAAAAAAGTAGGTGCAGAAGTATCAAAAATGAATGTTTTGCGGCAGAGATGAGTAAAATATTGATGACGCAAAAATTTTGCGGTCCTGTGATTTTTATCCAAACCAACTGTGTGAATCATAGAAATGCGAAGTAAAAACAAGAAATCACAAAAAAACTCAAATTCGCAAAGGAAATTAGCCTTTGTTATTTGACAAAAGTTTTCGGCACAAAAATTTAAGATATATACTTACTACTTTGTATTAATGCAAACGTTAATTTTTAGACAAAAAGTAGCATTAGGATTTTAATTAGTGTATCACTATTTTAAACTGACACTTCAAGAGATTATTGTTCAAAAGCTAAACCATTATATGATTTCGTGGTCCGAAATCATGTAAAAGTCATACTGTAAGATAAGTTTTTAGAAAATACGCAAAAGAAGCTTGCTAAAGATCTTAAATTAATTCCTGTAGTGTGATTACTAAAAAAAATGTTAAAGTTCCAAATTACATAATGGTAATTGAGAATCAAAATAACTAGGAATATTACATTGCAATGCATGTAAAATTATGGAAGTACATTCTAAGCTTCTAGTTAAACTATCACCAAACATGTCTCCCATTTGAATTTAAACCAGACTGCAAATAATGAATTAATACAGTACATATTATTTTGTATAAAGACCAGAATAACAGAAAAAAGTTTAACCAATCTTATACAAAGTTTGAAACTTTAAAATTTATGCTCTAAAAATTATCTTATACTTCTTTTAAGCTTTTTTCAATAAGCTTATAATCAATATCGACTGAGTATTTTTCTTTTATATTTTTAATAAGATCTTCTCATTTGGATTTTGGCATGATCTTTAATCTGTTCGGATCAATTCTTTTACTCTTAGAAATTATGTTCCACCCTAAATGCACAACAAGCATGAAGGAACGTCATGCTGCAATCATCTCATCCCTTTATCTTTTTTTAGTTCTTTTACCTTTTTTGTTAATTCATAGGAAATTTGTGCCAATTCACAAAGTGAATGAATATATTGAACCCTTGCATTATTAAAATTAGTTTCTCTGTCTGAAATTTTTCTGTAGATATTTCTGATTTGACATCTTATATCAACCTTCTCTTTGAAATAACTATTAACATTATTTACTGTATGCAAAAAACACTCCTTAAAATCCTTCTTGGATTTTTTTGAAAAGTTTATCAATTGGTTTATCACTGATCATTATTGGATTTGGGATACCTTCGATTTGAATATCAAAGTATTTATTGGTTTGGTCCTATTATATATATTTATTTATTTATTTAGTAATAAAATATATTTATTTTATTCGGAATTTTTTGAATTCCTTACTTGAGAATCTGTTTCCCAATTATCGTCAAAACTGTCAGTCTACATGGATGATTTCTTTTTAATTTGATGATGATAATATTTTATAAAAATTAATAATTTATATAAAAAGTACCTGAACAGTATTAATATCTAATAGGATTACTTGAGAATTATCTATTTCATTCTTTTAATAAATAAAAAAATATTAATTAATATACATATTGTATATACTAGATCATACTTCAATATTTTTAATATATTTATCATTTGTAATTATTATAATTAGTAAAAGGGAAGTTCTATTTTCACCTGGATAAAGTCATCCAATAACTTAAAGTAACAATATTGGTAATATTTTGGGGGTTTGGGTTAAAATCCTGACAAACAGAATCCCGACAGGTCATAATCCTGACAAAAAAATCCCGACAGCTAAAAATCCCGACAATCAAAAATCC